ATTTCCACATATCAATATTAGTTAATATTTAATATCTATTAATATGTATAATTTATTTTATTTAATATTTATTAATATAGTAATAATTTGTTTTTTATTATTTATTAGTAACTAATATTCATTTATTATTAATAGTAATAACTCAAGATAAGAAATAAGAGTTGCTGGAGCAAAAAGACCAAACCGTAGGTTAAGAAATGGTTTGTTATAGGATTACCTTTCGACTTCTCGGAACCTAGGTTCTTGAAGAAAACTTTAATGTTCTTTCTTTCCATTTTGAAGAGCTTCAAAAATTGGAACCATAGAGAAAAGAATCGCTAAAAACGGATAAGAAATGAAGACGTTATAGCTAAAATGAGGAAGGTCTAATTTTCGGTCTCTTTGTGCAGGTCATGCCTAAACACTAGTTTCACCGCTAGTTAAACTAGCGTGGAAACTAACTCGAGAATAAAAATCAGGCTTCCAGATCTTGGCTCTAGTTTTCAAACGAGTTTAACTCACTTGACAAACCAGCTTGGCACTTTATTGTGTTTTTAAACTGATTTGTGACTTCTCGAGTGACCAAACTTGCATGGGAGGTCTCTTAATGCCCCAAATGACTTTCAACACAAGTTTTCTTCATCATAACACAACCAACACTCTTGATTCAAATGCCACAAACATTCAGTAATGGTTAGATTGGCGATTACTAGTGATTCCGGCTTCATGCAAGCAAGTTGCCTGCCAATATCCATGCCAGGAAATTAAAAACATAAATCCAATAGCCTAAAACTGTCCCTTGGCCCGTACATCCTGACATAAGGTTAGAATTTTAGATCTTTCAGAGTGTTTGATTCATGATCGGATCATAAAAACCCACTTTTCAAAGATCTCATACATGATTCGTCACTACAAAAAGGATAATGGTAACCTCACCATCGAATGGCTTGCTACGACAAATCTACACCCTTAAACGATTAATCGTAAAAACACAGGCGTTACATATACTCTAAAGAAATTACACATAGACCTAATATTTTTATGGGTTCACGGGCAATCATACCCCAAAGGGTAGGTCCGCCCCTAGGTGAAAGGGGTGCTGGTGGATGTTGGTGTTGATAGATGGTGAGGATTGACGTTGGAAAGTAACGTCAAGAAGGAGAAAATTGAGGAGGATTGGGTTCATCGAAAACGGAGATGGAGGGAGAGGTGCCTGTAGTGTCGACGGGAGAGATGAAGAAAATACATGATGATTTTATTTAGCCCTCCAAGTTTAGTTGCACACACTTTACCCCTTGATTTAAAAAGCTTAAGTGAAGATTTGTTAAGATAAAGAACAATGGCAAGAAGATTATCTTACCCTCAAGATTAATGGAGATAGACGGTTATTGGGACAGAGGACCAAAATCCTAAGAAAATGCATACCACAAGAACCAAATCCGTAATAAATGAATTCTAACGACCAATTTCATAAAATCAACATACCACAAGGACCAAGTCTGTAATTTACTCTTTTTTAACTTACCAAAATGACAATTGTATTATTAATAGCAAAAAAAATCTGTGTATCTTATAATTAAGATTAAATTGAAAAATAGAGACTGATTTTAAATAAACTAGAAGCGTACTCACGTAATGCAGCGAGATACATCGTGATTTTAATATTTCATTTTATTCTTTATCTCAGTCGATGTTATAATATGGCTTTATGTGATTTTAAGAAAGCGATGATGTTTTTATTTTTTAATAAAATATATGTTTGAAGATATCATAAAAACTTGACAAAAATATATCGATATTGGTATCAAATTAACTATTTGAAATTCCTCATTTTTTTGTGTAATTTTTTTATAATTTAATTTATGTATAATAACGAAGTAATTTATATTTGGTTTAATAATATAATTTTTTTTATAAAGATAATAATTATTTATTTTGTTGGAACTTGAAAATTATTCTAATTATATTTTAA